GACACTGGCGCCACCGGGCCCTCTGACCACCACCAGTAGGCAACGGGTGAAGTGTCTTGCCCAAGGACACAACGACCGAGACTGTTGGAGCCGGGGCTCGAACCGGCAATCTTCCGATTACAAGGTGAACTCCCAACTCTTGAGCCACGATCTCCCCATATAACAGATACGGGGCAAACAACAGAACATGATAACATTAAAATATATAATTTTATTATAATATGTTATTTATTATTTCAATAAATATAATATAACCGTGTAGGTCTAAATAAAAGCCACAATGAAACTTGACATGCATTTCACACAGTTTGTCATAAAAAAAAATAGTAAACCCTAATAACAGTAGTTACTCGATCGCAGAAGCACTGACATCAGTGTAGACTGTACCCCCCTCTGCTGCTTTTTCACTCCTTTGTGGTAATTTGCCGCTTTTCCTCGTAGTGATGTTTGGTGCAGAGTAAATCAATGGGTTCTCAACTGTCTGAGGAAGTTAAATGAATTTAAATAATAAAAAAAAACAGGCAAGAGTTTAATGTACCATTGACTTTATATTTTTCTTTATTAAATTTACCTTACCTGCTGACTCTGCTGATCACCACTTCCTGGCATGCCATCTGTTTGAAAGACAGAGAAATTTACTATGAAAGATGCTTTCCACATGGTTAATTTGCACCAAAGCTGATGGATATACTAATGTGAGTATAACTTTTATTACCACACCAACAACTGGATGTTTTCTTCTTGATGGTATAAATCAGGAAGGCTATAACGATCAGACTTGTAGCCAAAGCAGCACATAATATAAATAGAACTGTATTCGCCATTTGCAAGTCCCACATGTTGAGTCCTGGAAAAATAAAAGCACCCAGTAATAATTATTACTTTTAGTGACATTATAAACTGGGAAAAAGTTTCACGCTGATTTTAAACTAGCTTATTCTAAATTATTATAGCATTCTTCAAATTTACCTTTAACGTCCAGTTTTATGCCATTTCCAAAAATTATATGTCCACATGTGGCCACAGCGCAGTAGTACGACCCGGCATCAGAGGAGCTGACATTCTTGGAGAAGCTGTAGACACATTTCTGTGTGGAGGAAACCTCTGGACTCCTCTCACATTTATCACTGTTTCCATCAGCATAAATCAAGTTGGGGTGAGAGTTATCAGATCTAGTGCTGAACCAAAACACACTGTCATTTCCAGGACATGCACTGTTCTCTGGGTTAGAGAGGACTGAACACTGCAGAGTCACTGGGTTTCCCGGATGGAGGGGACCAAATTGAGGCACCTGAATGATGTCAGTGATAGCCGTCTCTGGCCCTTAGAAAATAATTAAGTAACTGTTAATATAAATACATAAATCAATAAAGTCATGTTTTACTCGTTTTAGTTAGATATTGATTTGTAAACATGGGTAAGAAATAATCAGTTCTGTTTACCTTTAATTTTTAAAAATGTTGCATTTAAAAAGTCCATGTCCAGTTGGTCCACTTTTATGCAGTAATAAAGACCAGTGTCACTTAGCCTAGTTTGACTTATTTCCAGAATAAAGGTTCCAGGTTCTTGCTTTGCTGTAATGTGAGGAGTGGTGTTAACACCGTCATAATCAAAGGTAAATGTTCCTCCCAAGAATTCAGGCCAGCTTCCAGAAACAATCCTGATCCAATACAAGTTTGCTTCATATTCAGATGTCGGGCGCGCACATGTCAGGGTCACATTTTCTCCAACACCAATAGTCTTCGTTCCAAAAAACACATAATCAGTGCATCCTGAAAGTCAAATTAAGCAGAGCAGTTAGATATAGAGAGAGAGAGATATTCCACATGTTAAATTGGAGAAATATATATGGAAAAAAGCCGACTCTAAACTTACGACCAGCTCTGAAGCCCAGTAGCATATAAAATACGATCAGCATTTTCTGATGGATTTACTTGTGACTCATTTACATTTAGGCATACTAAGATGATGCTCCTTAATATAATCACATCAAGTGGGAGGGAACAATTTCAGAACAATCTGATTGGCTGTTTGTTATGTTGGTGCTCCGTTCTACTACCACAATGGAAATTATATCAATCATCTTTCCGGCCTAAACAACCGAAACAACACCAAGAGCACAGCTTTCTTTTACAGTGGGTTTCTTTAACACACAGAAAGTAAACAAAAGAGGCGTTACGGTAAACCAAAACACTCTCACAAAAACACCTTTAAATTTCCACAATTGTCTTTATGCTAACTGGTCGTGTTGTTTATGCATCATACAAACAACATCTTTATCAACTACAATAACATAAAATGGGTGACATATATATACATACACATATATGTCACCCATTTCAGTCAAGTTTGTGTGCCTGGGGCATTGCACCTTTACTGCTGGTGTGCGCGAGATCATTGTCCTGTAGGCTGTCTCACTTTTCTTCACACTTCAGCTGTCTTACAGATGGCTTCAAACTTTACACTATAATACTTTGATATTAAGAGGATTTCATGGTTGATTAAATGATGGAAAGGAAACGAAGCCTGTGACTGCAAAAACAGCCTAATTTATCCATTTCACCAGTTTGGTATGAGGTGCTTTCAAACAAACCATACTTGATTAGTGTTTTAATAATTGAGCTATCACAAACATTAATATCGAGACCGATGTCTGCTGAGTGTGAGATTTAGCTCTTTTTTTGGTGGGGGTGGAGCACAACTATGCATAAAGATTTGAAGTTAGGTCATAGAGTGTATATAAAACATCAATGTAGCTTCCAATCCAGAAAATTAAAGCTAATGAACAAGTACCTTATACCCAAAATATTTCCTTTGACAATCTGGGGGTGACTCAACATTTTTATGTTGAGTTGATGATTAACCTGTTTCAAGCCTAATTGTGTCAATGTTCTGGGCCATTTGACCCAGCCTTTTGAGTTTATGGTGCTTTTATGTGTGTTGTAATACCCACTGTAAAACAAAACTGTGCTCTTGGTGTTGTTTCGGTTGTTTTTCTATTTTTTCAGTACTCAGTTCTCTCTATTGTTTAGTTATATTTCCGTTTCCCTGGTGTCTTGTCGAGATGTCTTGTCTCCCCTTCCATGTCTCCCCTGTCGGTCATGTTTATTCCATAATTCCCCAGCCCATCATGTCTCTCTCTGGTGCTCTCTTGTCCTCTCTCTCTCGTGATCCCTTGCTCCCTCTCCCATCTGCATTTCCTCCTGTTTCACCCTCATGTGTCACTCTACGTCTCTGTGTTTCCTGTTTTATTTTAATAGTGTCGTGGTCCATGTTCAGTATGTTCAGTTCCCTTGTGGCGTCACATCCATTTTGTTCCCCATGTGTTTCCACTTCCTTCACTGTCCTTCTATGCATTTAAGTCTTCTGTTTTCCTTGGTTTGTTCGCAGGTCGTCTGTTCGTCTCCCCCATATTCTCGGTCCGTAGTTTTTCCATGTTCCCTGCGCTTTGCTGTTAGTTTAGTTTTTCCCAGTTTAGAGTCAGCCTTTGGTTTTGGTCTCTCCTATTTTGTGTCTTTGTGTTTCACCTTAATAAACGGCTCGTCTTTTGTTAAATATGATTTCTGTCTTCAGCGTTTGGGTCCTCTTAAATAAACCCTTTGACATACTGAATGCAATCTGATGTAGCTTCTGTTGTGGAAGTTTTCCATTAAATAAAGCCTGCAGACAAGCGGTGAGCGGTAGCTAACATTCTTTAATCAAATCACAAAGAACAGAAAACCCAAGCTTGATGAAGTCCCTGCATGACCGCGGGGCAGACGGTCAGCAGAGTCTCCCTGAGCCTAGCATGGCTCTCAGTTAAATACCTTCTCCAGGAACAAACGGCAGTACACAGCTGTTTCACACCTTAAGGTTCACACTCCCTTGCTACCTCCCAGAGTCCTCGAAGAGACAAAAGATTCTTCCTGTGGAGTTGTCTGCTTCCCCCAACTTCCTTACTAGACCCCCATCATTTGTCTAACTGTATGAGTGTGAGACATGTTAAAATCCAGTGGCACCAAGGCATCATACAATAAAATAATGTGATTAATACATAAATAAAAGAAATTCCTATACACTTCTGATCCCTATTACAGTCTAAAATAACAAAAAGGAAATTGTGCTTTAGGGTCTGGTTACTTTGTAATTGACATGTTATAATCATATGGGTTTCCAGTATCCTTTGGTTTTTCTGCCAGCTCCACCACTCACTTATCATGTCTGGTTACATCAACATGGTAACACTTAAGACACTTCATAAATTCACAACAAGACTTCACAAAACAATTGCAGATCTTACGCTATGTTTTCCATCTTTTAAATACAGTCTATGTCTGAGTTTAGCTTAACACGAGCAGAATTTTTTTTAAAAACGTGTTTACCCAAGTGTGTTTTAGTGCCCACTCCACCAGTACCTTTTATATATGTCTAACATAGTCACTAATAAAGTCAAATAAATCAGTGCAATTTTGGTACAATACACTAGCATACATCCAGCTGACATCAGATTAGGCTTATGGTTAGGAAATGTGTCGATGTGCTCAGCAAATATGCTAAAAATGTTGCTTTTAGAGACAACATGGAGAAAATGCTGCGAGTGTAGGACTCAACACAATGACCGTATCAAAGATAGACAACGTGGCTCCAACGTGATTCCTCCCACTGTACAAAATGAAGCTCTGTTTATCAGGGCTACTGTGTTTTGCATGTTTGGAGCCTGAGCTGCACAGTAGTGACTCTGGGGTGGAGTTGCTGCTTTGAACTCTACCCACTCACCCGCTGGAGGTGACTGGGAACACGCCCCTCTGCACTTTTTACAGCTTTTAACAGTTTTAACAATGTCCGCTGGTGGTTTTACAGCAACTGACTATTAAACTAATGTAAATGCAGCCATATCACTGCTTTTAAAAAGCAGCACAGCTCACATCATTCTGTAGCCTCTGCTGATTAATTCATTAGCTAGAATAGCCGTTAGCATCTAGCTAGTGCTACACTGTGTTCGAGGCTTTTTAGCAATTCTACACACCTGTGTTGCTGTCATAGTTAATATGTTTGAATAATAATCCCTTATTATTTTTTGTTGTTCTCAATTTAGACAAAGAGAT